CCTGCTGATGTGCTCAACTCCCTGTTGGCTTCTGGGAGCGTATTGTAGAAAGAGGGACGGTGCATTCATCACTTAATGCACACATCCAGGATGGGAGAAAATTAAATTGAAGTCTGACTTCTTAATAGAATACTTTATTATTCATACAAACTGGAGGAGATTGTTGTGGGAAACTGAGGAGAACTGCATCAACCTAGTAATTTAGGGCACTATCATGCAATGCGGAGAACATGGATCCCAAATTATAATGCAAGTAATTCATAAAATCATAAATAGGTTTTTGTTTTGTGGATGACCACACTAATATTTGGAAGCAGAGCATTTCTTAGGTTAATTTTGTCATTGCAAAAACCCATATTCATTCCTRGAAGCTGAGCTTTTTTAATGATCCYACAATAGGTAACTATTATGCTGATACTTAGCACGTTAGCTTTTTGAAAATAAAAAGAACCAAACTAGTGTCACAGTAATTTTCAAAATATGCTATTTTCCCCAATATGAAATACATCATTGTAATTACCCAATTAAAACAGTAAATATGAAAATCTTCTCCCAGAGCAGAAATGACAGTTAAGTGTAAGAACTACATGTGTTACTTACAATAATATTTGCAAGTAGCAGAAAAAAGATTTTATCATAATTCTACCAATCTTCAGTTGGAATCAGGATATACACATAGACATATGTATGTGTGTGAATGTATATATAATTATCATTGAGGTGAGTGGGGATGTCTAAGTGTTCAAATTCACTTCATAAGAACAGAAAATCTCTATCATATAGAAATCTGGTAATATTGTCAAATATAAATRAGGGTTTTTTTCCTTTTTTATTCTTCAAGGTCCCCAAACAAATCACAGCTTATTTGTGTCTTGCAGTAGGGCCTATTCCAAAGAACTTTGATGCTTCCAATTGACTCAATAGGCTTTAGATCTGGCCTAAAGTAGTAAAACCTTTGTGGAATGTTTATAGATAACCACTTAGGCAGTGACAGCTTAAGGAAAGCAAAAGGAAATAAATTAAATGCATCTTCCAGTGACATAAGTCTCATGAAGAATTAACTAGGATAAGCACTTACTCTAGTTGGTGCACTGTCGATCTGAACAATGCAGACAAAAATAATAATTAAAACATAGCTTCATGCTGAGATGAAACTTTCAGGAGTGTCTACTGTGTTAAGCTTATGATTTTTTCTAGTTCTGTATTTGCAAGCATAATTATTTCCCAGAGGCAACAGGAGCTAGAGCTTGTCAGTCCCCATTTCCCCCTCCGATAGATTAATTTCTTTACACAGAAATCCAAAAGTTGATGCCAGAGCAATAATAATAATGTAAACAAGTCTTTTATTCTTTTAATCTGGAATGCATAATTTAATGGCATAGTTGTATAAATAATGAAAATATCATATCTACTTTAGACAATTAAGGGTAAACTGAAGGTAACATTTAATGCAGTATTGATTGACCACATCAACAAAACAACGGCAGACATTTGTATGGATGACAGCAGTTAGGAAAATGCTACCAAATCTATCAATACAGATTAAGTAGGGCTGGGATGGAGCAGACTTGATGGCTCAGAGTCCTGGTAATGGAATATCAAGCCTTTCACCTCCAGCACGCTGACTTGAGCCAGCCTAGGTCAGTCTGTCASTGAAAGTCATTACCATCAGACAGTTCAGTGAAATGAGTTTGTCCTAATGGCAGGCTGTCTGTGTCACAAAATGCACCATCTATCATGACTGACATCATGGTGAGACTTTCAGCTGAAGGCTGGAAGGAGTCAGGATGGGCTCCACAACCCTTCTATCCCCACTGGAAGCATGGGTAAGGACAGTCATCTGGGGCTATGCTGGAGATTGTAGAAATSCCTGATTTTAGGGATAGTGGTATCAATCACTAACGTGATATACAAAAAGAGGAAGGTATCTGTGCTGGAGAAATTGGAACTGAGCTATGCAAGACTAGACATGAACAAACAGGCAGAAATAATAAGTGTGGGAGAGGCATGATAGGAGTAAGCATAGCACACCAGCAGCATGAAGTTACAGTAGCCATCCTGTTGTACCTCTCTCTTGGGCAGATTTGAGAGAAACAGTGACATGTGGGGAAAGCAAAACAGGGTTTGTAAAAAAAAAAAAAAAATGTAGTGGAACCAGAATTCTGTATTAGGCAGAGGAGAGAAATGACACATGAAAGCTAAATGAAAACAAGACAGTAYAGGAATAAAGAATTTCAAAATGAAGGCAAAGTGTGTTCAGAGCCASCACAGAAACGGGAGACTTTGGAGAGATGAGGAATTACATGGATAAAGAGATGAGCTAAGGCGATTATTTCTTTCAGCAGCAATTCTGGTTGGGTATGAGAAGAGCAAGTCTGTATCTGTCAAAGCCACCAGAAACTACATTGTTAGGAAGTGACAGGAGCATGAAGAGTTTTAGCTTTGTGGTTAGATGGGGAATATTGTACCTTTTAGAAGTTCTGAAGTAAGGTATTACCTGAAAGTTGAAGATAGCTTTAACAGTAGCCCAAATAAGGTGTTTTATTGGAAACATTCAGGCTACAGTTCATGATAAGAGATGGGACAAAATCTTACTTGGTGATGGCAAAACTCATAGAGCAAAAATAATCAAAAACATTGTTTCACATCTTTGACCTTAACTTGATAGTTAGACATACAGGAGGAGACATCAGGTTAGAGAGTGGACAAATTGTTGCACTTTGGGGATAGTTTTTAGTATGTTAATTTAATCTGTKTTGTCAACTTGGAACAAAGACATTGAGCATCATTTCCCAACCTTTTACCTAAACTAACCAAACTCTAAAAGCTCAGGAGCTGCTTCTCAGAGCTTTGCAAAAGATAAATAAAAAAGGAAAGCTCTTTTCAGTGRGCTTAACTACACTTTTATTTTAAAAGTTTCCCGAATCATAAACTTAAAAATCACTGCATGTGAGAAAAAAAAGGGACAGATTTCTCTCAAATTGTCAGAAGAAGCTGAAGATCTTGTGAAAGAATGAAAAACAGAAGCAAAACCAGAAAAAGACAGTCACTGAAAACAATGGCTGATACATTTTCTTAAAAAATTTGTGAGGTAAAACTACGTAATTTAAAAACACATCTAAAGTTTTAATTTGATCCAGGGATATGGCACCAAATTGATGGGTATGGCAAGATCAATAAAAACTCCTCTCTGATTGATACACATTTCAGTTACAATCACATAATAGTAATGGTGCACCTGTTCTGTTTATACGTCTAAGAAACAGATTAAAAATATAAAAATAAGGACACAAACCTGGCTGCTTCTCATCCCACAAAACACAGCAAGTTTCTCAGTAGCACTTCATCATCTAAATGTCAACTGCATTTGTGCCCATTCCATTCTGACCAGAGTGAATCCCTTCCTGAAGAAAAAGAAATCACAGTGGGAAACAATTTTCCCATAAAATAAGGACCAAGAATGAAGACATGAAACAGTGAAAGTAAAATGGCGAAAACATCTCAGTGCTTATAGAGCTCCTTTTCATGAAGTCAAAACTCCTTAGAGCTTCTTTACAGATTAAGTGTCAAGGCTGCTGGGCATACACTAGTTTATTACTTAGAAGAACAACTTCATAGTGAAACGAATATTGTGATTAGGTTAAATTAGGTGAAACTGAACTAGAACCAGATTTATTTTGCTACTACAACTCATAYGGACAAACTCCTCAGCAGTGGTTCAGATGATACAAAATAATGCAGCTGAGAATACMGATTCTGGTATTTCTTCACAGGATTTTTTGGTTGTGATTCCACAGCTAAAAACCACACGTAATGTCTATTTGAATGTGACTGCTGTTTTTTACATAATCCTATATTGAAATATCCGTGAGCATAATCATGACCTGGTTTTAACTGAATCATATGAAAACAATCAAGAAACCAAAATTAAATATTAAAATATTTTACATGCATGTGGTTCCTGCCCTACCATTAGCAGTACRAATGAGATTATTGTTGAAAATTCTGAACACCGAAGATAGAAAAATCAGAGAAAGTGCCCACAGTGGTTGTGGCAACTACTGTCCCAGTGAGGCACAAGATTGCTTGGGAAGAAAATATTAAGTTGTGTCCAGCGACCCGCCATGTTCAAAGCTGCTAAATACCCTTAGTATGAGATTTCTTGGAAAAATAAAMGGGTATAAAAAAAGTATTTTTTCTCATTGTTTGGAATCAAGACTGGCTATCCATCTAAGAAAGCTGTATCATTTGAAGAATCTATTAAGCTTGCTGTAGGAATGACTGTAGAAAACTGTGGTTTGRTATGTATGTCAGACACAAACTCTGATTAATCAACTTTTCCGTAGGCTCATTCTCCACTCTATATGCATGCCATCCAGAAAGATGGAGAAGTTCAGCTGGGTATGCCTTTCACTTCCAAAGGTGCAGAGGTAAACAAATGCAAATATTTCCTTTTTTGTGTMTCTTTCCTTACAGGGGAGTGTTACACTTGGCTATCAAGTGCCATTTTGCAGGAACCTAGGGATGCACTTGCAATACTAATCAGTAAGCTGTTCTGTGAGTCAGTGGCTTGCTTCTTGCATAGAAGCGATGGAATTATCTGCTGCAGAAGGTCCAGCACCACCTCAAGTGGTAGGTAGCCAAAAAAAAATCACCTGTCAGAGTTCATAATTTGCCATGTGTTTTTAGTTGTAAGTTTCCACTGAAGTGGGCTTGTGATGAGGGTATGGGGCGTTGGAAGTAGATGACCTTTACAGTCCCTCACAAAGCATCCTGCGATTCTCCGATGTGAAGGTGGCTAACTGCATTTTCTGCGTTTTTTTTTTCTCTACAAGCCTGGAGCAACATTTCTGACACAGGAAACACAGTGGTAAAAAGTGAGCGGAGGGTGTGAGTGGAGTACGCTGAAACACTCGGCGGCTGAGCTTTCAGCGTCCCCCAAAGCATCTTCCCTGGAAAACCAGGGACACAACCGAGGGCGACAAACGGCCGGGAGCCTTCTCGCCACCGCAGGCGGGACCGGGAGGCGGGGACGCTAGGGCAGGAGGTGGCGGGAGCCCCGCTAGCACAGGAAGTCGCCCCGCCGGGAGAGCAGGGAGGAGGCGGAGCTGTGCCGCTCGGCCCGAGGTACCGCGCCGSGTCCCGGGGTGGGCAGAGGCGGCGGCCGCCGGGACCGAGCGAGCGCTGCCCCGGCCCCCGCCCCCCTCACGCTGCGGGGGCGCCGCCATTGGCCGCGGGCAGGGAGACTCGCGCCGGCGGGAAGCGCGGCCGCCCCGCTGCCCGCTGCGGGCACGCCCTGCCATTGGCCAGCGGGGAGCGCTCCTCCGCGCCATTGGCCGGAGCGCGCTGTCAATCAGGGAGGCTCCGCCCCCGGAGCACGGGCTGRGGGGCTGCGGTGGGAGGGGGTCGGCGCTGCCGCCGCCATTTTGGGCGTGGGCGGGAAAGGCGGCCGTGCTGTCCGGTCCTTGGGTCCGGGACTCAGGTTTGGGCTCGGGCTCCGCCTCCGCCTCACCACATTGAGGCTCCCCGACTGCCAGGGCTGTTTCTTTGTGTCCGGAGAAGTACGATGCTCACCAGGCTGTCAAAGTGGAGGGAAACAAATCCCCTTACCATGGTCTCCTYGGCGGGGCTGTGTTCAAGGCCTGGTCCAGACACGCCAGCGGGGCCGAACTGGCGAAAGCTTGAGATATCCTCACGAGGATAGCTCACRATTTTCCTTTGTCAGCACCACTGCTCACATATTGCTGGCCAGTGCGGTGTGGTTGGGCATGTGTGTGTATGAAACCCCTTGTTCTGTGGGATGTTAGGGTGTCTGGAGCTGGACAATYTGGTGCTCTGTGTGTGCTGACCCCCCATGCGCAGTGAGACAGGGCCGTGTGGTGCTGTTGAATGTGTTTGGCCGGCTGTGGGTGTGCAGTAAATCTGCTCCAACCTGGAGTTGTTGAGACGGCTATGTTTGCCTTCCAGGTGTGATGTGTTCCGGGTACATTGCACTCCTTTATGTTYGCTGCAGAGAGCTCTGGTCAAACCACTGCTCAGAAAAGCCTGGAGAGAAATACGTGAAWATATGTGAGCTGCAAAATTTCTAAATGTGAGGTGTTGGCAGGGGATTCGGGGATTCTCTGCCACTCTGTTCATGTAGCAAGCTGCTCCACCTTCCATCAGCCCTCTGTGTTGTAAGGACAGATCATAGAGTAGTAACAGAAAGCCGCTTTGAAAGAGGTTATGGTGTAATTGGGCTGTATATGCAGCACACACCTTCACACTTTGTAATTCAATTACATGTTACGGGTTTTGAGTTCTTTCTGTTGGGGCCCAGGCTCGTTCCTAAAGAGCTAATCAGAATGGAAGGGTATCTGCTGTTGGAAATATATTGAGTTCTAATCCAGCCTTTGCTACTGCTACATGACTTCCTTAGTGGAAAACTGTATAAAGTGATGTTTAAGAGATACAAGTATGGGGAAAATKGAACCATTTCTTAAATGCTCCTGTTTGGCATGTCATTCCTGGCTGAATCACTTCACTTTTTGGTTCAAAATGGGCTGYGGACAAACTTAATTGCGCAGAAAATAGTTTGTCTGCTCACTTAAAGAAGAATTTGGCCAATTGCTTTGTTGGCATGGTTATCTTTCATCATGARTTAATACAGTCTACCCTTTAGGACTTCTTTTCTGTCTTCATGGAAGCTGGTAAGATGTAAGTCTACTTAAGGTCAGTACTGTAAATGTGAGCACAGAGAAAACTAAGTGTTGACTTAGAAATAAAATAATGACATCAGTACAAGCAGTTGACACTTGTTGATAGAACAAGGGTGTTGCTCACTTTTTAGTAATTCTTCTTTCARTGTGAAAATCTGTTTTGTAATTTATTTTCTACTTTGTGATTCTTTAATTTATGTATAGTCTTCTTGTGAAACCTGGTTGAGCAGGAGTAGTCGATCTCAAGAGATCTTTTTCAACATCAACAATCCTGTAAATTCTGTGAACTTGATTTATGTAGCCAAGAAGAGAGTACAAAAATGTTCTAAAACTCACTTCTTATTGTGCTTAAAATAGTACTCTGTATCTGCAAAAGCAATATAGGAAACACTCAGTAACTTTTTAATGCAAATATGGGAGCTCTTCAGACATCTAGGTTTTGAAAGATAGTTTCATGTCAGATTACTGAAACAGAGATGCCTGTTAACAGTGGTAAAATTCCTTATACAATTAGCTTAAAGTCTTGCACTGAATTATATACAAAGACATTTGTATTTCTGTTAAGTCATAAAAACARGACTATGTTTTCTATTTCAGATACAAGCAGCTGAGTTCCAGTGTTTAATTACTGCTTCACACTGAATGACCAGGATTTTTCCRTACATCTTTCCTTAAGAACATACTTTCGCAAAAGGTAATATGCAAGGAGATACATACTTTCTTCGTGAAATGGGGAGTAAAATCAGTGCCTTTCTAACTGTTTATTTTTGGTTGTTTGTGTTTTTTCTTTTTCCCATGAATTTGAACTATGCAGAGTAAGCTTACATGCATTGAAAGTTGCCTCGTTCACTTCTGCAAGTTCTGTGATTTTATAGTTCATGCTGTTAGACTGTGCAGCTTCTTCAGATAAGGAAGCCAGTTTGTGTGTCAATTTGAAAATCTTCTACCTCGCTATTGGTTGAAAATACAGAATGAAGTCTAGTCATGTATGCTAATATATTAAGCTGTGGTTCTTCCCACAGCCCAGTCTAAAGGGCAGCTGAAGCTCAGTATACTTCATGGCAGTAGCTCCAGGAAACATTCAGTTTTAGATGCTATGTAGAAAACAGGACAAAGGTTGTTTTCTTCAGATTATTTTTTTTTAATACTGTCCTTGCATTTTTATACGAAATTTGTTTCTTGAGACCATTAATTGGTTTTGGTTAGATAATTTTAAATACCTTTTAAARTGAATCAGTACCATCAAGATTAGTTACAGTTAATTGCAGTTAGAATTTTTGGAGTTTTGTGCAATTTTTACCGTAATTAGGAAGTAGTTTTTTGGTTTTGTTTTTTTTTCTTTGGGATATTCCATATTAATCTAGATTTTCAGTAGACAAGGCAAGGAATTATAGGAGAGGATAGTAGTGGGCTAGTTTGACAAAATTGGGTTGCCCATTAAAAAAACTAGAGCAGTTTAATATCATCATGGCCAAGTTAGTCTACTACTATGTTAGTAAACGTAGTRAATTACTACGTTTACACGTTTTGAGATACATGAAGAGAATGCAACATAGATCGTTGTAAGGTATAGACAAAGAAGCCTGTGATTTCCATGTGCAGTAGAAGTCTTCCTCAGTCCTCCAACTCTTGTACAATGCTACTGTTGTAATGCTGTTACTCCTGGGAAACAGGAGTGTGAAAGTCAATGTTTTCTGACCCAAACTCTGCCTTAATTTTTTCTGCTCTTGTGGATTTTTTCATTTGCTTGCAGGTTTACTTTTGCTTGAGGAAAAAATGTGAAGAGRTTTACAGAATAAATACTAGCTGATCATTTTTCAAAATAAAAARTTAAGTGCTTTTCAGTGAATGGCTAGTCTCATTCCAAGTGAAGTCTGCARTGATTAAATTTTAAAATGATCCATGGTTTACATTAATATAAAAACTTTTTGGGCAATTATTACAAAGATTAACATTTTTAATGTTTTAGTACTCCCATAGTTTATCAATCACAGGCACAGTGAAACTGCTTTTAGTTACTAAATCTGATGATCCMATATATCATTGCAGTATTTGGTACAATATAAACCTTGTGGCGTGGTTGGTAGAGGGCATGAAGAAACACAGTGTATCTTACAAGTCTTATAATAATGAGTTAATATGTTAAGAGAATAATTGGGCTTATTCTTGAATTCTTTTTTGACACAAAATAAATGGGTAACAAGGTTGTTTTTTTTTCCTTGAAAGTAAGAAGGAAAGGGAGTTCCATAAWATCTGTGATGTTTGCTCTAGAGGAAGGAGCTCTTGTTCCATGTAATGACGGTCACTGGTATGATTAGAGAAGATAAAAAGTTCTTGCATGTGTGTTTCCAAGTGGACTTGCATTAATGCCACTTTAATATTCTAGAATTACCTGCAACAGCTTATGATTCCTGATACGTTTTTATTCTTTAGAGTTATATTTGAAGGCCATGGGAAAATGTCATGGAATCCCAGGTGCTTTTATATCGCTAGCTGCACATAGATACCCCTGTGATTCAGTGTGCTGAGTAAATACTTGAGGCATTCCTGACATGGACGGTGCTCATTCCTCTGTTTCTCATATGTTTTACATTTTTTTAGCCACAGGGCTAAAAATCAGCATTAGTGATWTTTTTAAGTTTGATTCTGCCTCTCTCAACACGCTGCATTGATACAGTGGAGTTTTGCACAATACAGTTTATTGTGTTCCGAGATTTTCTGCAGTTTTAAATATGATAATTCATATATCATCACAATATTGTTTATTCCTGTGTTGTGATTGTTCTTGTCATTATCCTTCACTCAGTATATTCTGCAATCARTAATGAGGCAGAATTGGGAAGAAAGGCCGATGAATTAGCCAGTGTAAACCCAGTGGTGTTTGTAGAGTGGGATATGAGATAGGAAGGGAAGGGTGCAGTAGAAATCCAGAACTAGATGTTGAGCTGCTAAAGTGAATAAATGGAGAAAGACTGTTCTGACAGCAGAAATGGTRAAGTAACTTACAGCAGAAGGACAAGTGAGAGAGGCGAAAAGAGCAGATGTTGGCAGTAGGTTAGTGCTGGGAATTGTATTGGGAGGTTAAAATCCAGAGGGCTAGCTGAGGCACACCATTTTCTACACAAGTTTGTCACCTATTAATGCTGTTATTTCTAGTCTTAGGTAAGACAAAGAAATAAATATGGGTTTGCATCGTTTATAGCTGGTTGCCTCTAGCCAGAAAGCTAAATTAAACCTCATGCCTTTCTATTGAAATGAAATAARTAGTGGAACAAAATAATAACCTTTYATGTCATGAACTGTTTTTTATATTGGGGAAACAGATTGGGTTGAAAATATAGTAGATTTCGAAGTCTCAATTGTTTTCTCTCAGGCTGTGCTGTGTGGTATAAATGAAGAAAAGGTTAAGTTTACCCATGATAATTCTCTTTCACATTTGCATTATCAATCAGCCTTTGTAGCTTTTTGTGCTTTTATCTATTGTGTTTCCATTGTAATCTTTACATATGAAGTTCTCAWTTCTACAAACTCCTACACTGAAATTTATTCACAAATGTCTCTGACAGATGTACTGGAAGCTTTAAATGCTGTGGTTTAAGATGCTGCCAGCTGGTTGCTTCTCCCCACCCTTCAGATTGCAGTCTGTACAGAAGAACTGGCAGTACTTGCACCTCAGTTTGCTTCCCTCACCTGAACTCACATCTCTTTTAGGGTGCCTTTTGCTGTTGTGGAGGCTGACAATCGGGTCCTGGGCGTAGCACATACCCCTTCTTCGTCCTTTCTTACAGCCTGCTAAGCCCTGGCAGGACAATAAGCACCCGGGTCAGCAACACCTTAAGGCCTCTCAGACACTCTGAGCTTGTTGATGAGACTCCCCTGTAGTTTTAAGTTGAGCATGTTTAAAACTGTTTAAAATTGCCTATGTTTTCAGTTTGTTGCCATGTCAGTGTGGAGGATATTTCCATACTTGGCTTTAGCATATCACGCTCTGTACTTAAACTCTGACCCCATAGTTTTGTCTGCTYTAAAAAGTGATCATGACTAAAAGCTTGTTATTAAAAACCATRCATCTTTCTTTCATGTAATATGTATGCCATAGAAATTGTTCAGTAAGACAGTGTGTCRCTCTCATTGTGGGTGGAGCTGATTACACTGCCTCCAGTTAGAATTGCATCACTTACTTTACTGCTAGACCAGTTTTGTTTTACTTATGCTCTTGCCAAAAGGAAACMGTTAATCTGAAGTAGTGTATTGTTCTGTTTTTGTGTCTTGGCTGTCAAACTGAAAGCGCAGTATTTAGATAGCTAACATTTAAATTTGATTAGATCCCTGATTTACWGTTACTCAACTAAAATAATTTTAAAATCAGGACTGTACAGTGACAATCAAATGGATAAAGAGCTGGTGAGCTGCCAGCACTCAGAAGTAATGGCTGCAGGCCACTGTTAGTGGTTTTGAGCTTGTGGGGACTGCTCCCGGCATTTACATGTGGTGTCATGTGCTTTGCCATTTTGGTCAATTGTGTGTAGACATAAAAGCTATAGTGGCACATGATGATAGTTCAGTGATTGCTGGGTTGRTGAAGAAAGAATGAAGCTTAAAGCATGACTGAGATCATGATGACATGAGTCTGTTAGGATGCAGTTTGTGTGCATGTTTTGAGGAACAAGGAATGATGGATGTATGTGCAGAATGGAAAATTTTTGTCTTGTAATGCAGTGGCTATGGTTTGTGAGGAAGGTCCTGTAGATARAGGGGATTCAAGTGCATGGCAGTGTCAGGAAGTGCTGGTGCTACCTAGGAGAGGARAGGTGGAAGCATGGTTTGAATAAAAAGACCGGTGCTGCAATGTTGCATCTAGTTTTCTTTCCATTGAAAACATATCTTGAAAAATATGAAAGCGTGATGAGGGTCCTGAAAGATACAGATTTAGTTCTGTTAGCAGAACTGCCTTTGGTAGGTGGGTTTGAGATTGGGTTCAAGCTTGCCTTGGTGTTTCTGACCACATGTCTTCCTTACTTCAGCAAGCTGTGTTAGCTCTCTCTCCCATCTTGGTTACTGCAGCGGYCCTCTTGCATAGGTACTGTTGAGTGTCCTAGCAAAGGCTATGCTGACTCTGDATTTGCCACTTCTTCCCTTTATAGAGGTCAGGAAAAGCATTGCTTCAATTTTGTTATATGCAGTGTGGAAGGCTTTTTAGAATATGATTTTTTTTACGAATTTGAATATTATTTTAATAGAACCCCTAAGAATTGCAGTAACTAATAGTTTACTTTTTTTTTAATTCTGAAGTCATAAAATATTCAAAACAAGGCTGGATGTTGCTTTCTTTGGATTTTTTTGACATGCTATTTAATTTATTAATAAATCTTTTTGTAATTTGGAGTGAAAAGTTTAATGAAGCATTCTTAGATTGCGGCTTACTTTTTTATTCTGAAAGATAGGAGAATATGAAAGCCTGATTTATTTGGGTATCTCTATGTACACAAAGCCAGAGACCAACAGGCTAAATAGAAAAATTCTGGAGAAATTATGGTGARGCAAAACCTATTGAAAAGAACTTGAAACCATTTTCATTTTAAATATATGCTAATATTATTCAGTTAAATAATACTAATAATTTCTGTTGGAATAACAGATCACGTTCATTTAAAACTCAAGTTCCCAGCACACTTGCTAATATCTTTTATAGCT